GTGAAATTTTGTTGTAAAGTTACAGTCACAGAATAAGTGGTCTATCGTCTCTGTATGTAAACCACACATCACACACTTATCATCAGTAATCATATTCCACTGCTTGAGCTTGTCCCTTGTTTTAATTCGGTTGAGAATGATTAACCAAGCAAGAAACCTGTACTTAGGAATCGTATACTTGCCCCATAAAACCTTCCACCAATTCACCTCTGTCTGCTTTCCTCTGATATACTCTGATAGACAGCCATACCGTTTTAATGGAGAATTTAGGCATCGGATGCCCTTCCCAGCATACTACACTTGAGAATCAGTGAATAGTCTGAACTTGAACCAAGTTCTTAACTTTAGTAGTTTGCGCTAAATCCAAGACCCTGAAAGATTAAGCTCCCAAAAATAACGATTATGGAGTCTATAGAGTGTGATCCACGCCACCCAAAAGCTTCCTCCATGCATAAAGAGTAACAAGACTAGACGCGTAACAGAGGCAACATTCTAGGTTAAAAAGTCCACCCTCTTGTTTAGGGGAAGCTATAATATGCCAGACTACCTTTGCTCTACCTGTACCATCACCAAACCATAGAAAATCTGAACAGATCTTCTGAATTCTCTTAATTAGCTTCTTGGGCAAAATAAAGATAGTAATCCAATAGTTCACTAAAGAAAACATAACAGAGCAGACTAATTCAAACTTTCCAGCATACAAGAGTTTATTAGCTCGTCAAGTTCTTATTCTCTTTGTGATTTTATCAACCAGTAATTCACATTCACTACTGGAGAGTTTACCTAATAGAAGAGGAAGTTCCACATAACGTACTAGAAGCTTTCCTTCCTTGAAACCAGTCAAACTCAGGGCAATCTGCTTAAATTACTCAGAAACTCCTCCGAAGAAAACCTCACACTTTGCTGGATTACATTTGAGACCCGAGATACAATAAAACTTGTCCAACACCCTTTTCACTCCACTTAAAGCTTGACCAGACCCCTTAGTAAAGATCAACAAATCGTAAGCGAAGTATAAATGAGAGAATCCAATTGAAGCACATTGAGGATGGAAAGGAAACTGTTTTGATTTCACTGCCTTGTTGAGCATTGAAGTGAGCACCTCCATTGTCAAAGTGAATAAGTAGGAGGACAAGTGGTCCCTCTGTCAAACACCTTTTTCTTCCTTGAATCATGATGCTAAAATGAGCCGTTTGGGGACACTCAGCAATCCAGTCAATAAACATCCTTGGAAAACCCATCAGATTCATAATTGTAAATAAGAATCCCCAACTAACCGAGTCGAATGCCCTCTTAAGATCGATTTTCATAGCACTTCTCAAAGTTATACCCTTCCTATGGTAGTTGTGTACTAGTTCTTGAGCCATTAATATATTTTCTAGATTACTTTTTCCTTGTATAAATGCAAATTGGTTTCGACTGATCTGTTTTGGAATAACTACCTTTAGCCTATTAGCTAGTATCTTAGCAATGATTTTATAGGTCACATTGATACAAGCTATAGGTCTATAGGAAGTCAAAGAGATATCATTGATAATTTTAGGGACCAGAGTAAGTGAAGCAGAATTCATACCTCTAGGAAGCCATAGTGATAAAGAAATCCTGAACCCCCTGAGTGACCTCCATGCCAATTTCGTGCCAACATTTTTGGAAAAATCCCATAGTCCAACCGTCTGGACCAGGAGCCTTTTAAGGGTTCATTTCAAAGAGAGCATCATGGACTTCCTTAGCCAAAATTGCTTGAACCAAGAAGCTGCAAACATATTCGGCCAAATGACCAGTTAAGCAGGATTTAATAAAGTCTTCATCTGGATGAATATTCAAGTTTGAAGATCCAAGCAGCTTAGTATATAACTTAATAGCCTCCTCGGATATCTCTACAACATCAGAAAGCTCTTGTCCATCTTCCAAAATCAGCTTCCTTATTTATTTCTTTGTTGTCCCGAGCTTAGCCATCTTGTGAAAAAAGGAACTGTTAGAATCCCCTAGAGTTAACTAGCTGATTCTTGACTTTTGCCTCAAGAAGCTATCCTCAGCATTCTTAAGAGTTTGAAAACTCTGTACAGCTTCCTTGAGTAGCTCAAATAACTGAGGACTGGGATTGCAAGTTGAGCTTGCTTCATAATAGCTTCAGCTTCCTGAGCCCTCCCAACAATATCAGCAAATGCATCCTTATTAAGCTTTTTGAATTCTATTTTCAGGAAAATCAGTCGTTGTCTAACCCCAAGTAACCCAACAGAGTACTCTTTCCTCAGCCACACCTCTCTGATAATAGGAAAGAACTGGGAATGATCAATCCACATGTCAAAGAAACGAAAAGGTTTTGGAAATGACTTTGCTGGTACTCGGGGAATAGTCAACACACCACAATGATCATAAAAATCTGGGCCAAGAAACTCCACAACACACTCTGTGAGACCAATAATCCAATCATCATTAACCAGAAAGCGGTCTAGCTTTTTTGCAATGGGATTCCCCTGCTGCTGGTTAGACCAAGTAAAGAGGGGACAAGTTGCTTTATGATCCACTAATTCCATTTCTTCCACCCATTCTCTGAACTGACTCATACTGTTAGAGATGACACTAGTATTAGCAGACTCTGACGGATCAAGAATATCATTAAAATCTCCACCAACTTCCCAAGGAAAGTTAGAAACCATCCATTTACTCATCATATTATAAGTGCCAGCTCTAATCTTCTCTTCATTTGATGCATAGTCTGCAGTAAAGAAGACCTGCTCCTTCTGGTAGATCGAACTCATTGTATGTATAAAGTTCCCCTCCACTGCTAAAACCGATACCTTTATATCATCACACCAAGCCAGCAAAATCCGACCTAGTTTATTCTTAATATAGTTGTCTTCAAAGGTAAAACCAACAAACTTGTCTTTTATTTTCTACGCATTTTTTTGTTGTACTCTTGTATCAATCAAAGCTAGAACCTGATTTTTATGACGAACATGCCTCAGCACGGCATCGTGCTTCAAGAGGACATTGAAACCCCTTGTATTCCATATGAGAATAGTCATCTTCGTTTAGGAACCGCCTTCGCAGCTCTTGTTTTACTCCTTCAGACCTTCACTACCACCCTTATTAGGCGGATCTTGAAGCCTCACAACTCGACTGGATGAGCACAAATCAGCAAATGTATTCGTCTGCAAGACCATAGGAGCTACAACAGGGGTTTTCTTGGATTTGCTCTTGAAGCACGATTAACCACCTTATTGAACTCCTCCTGAGAAGGGAGTGCACTTGGAGTGACTGGCGGAGTAGTGCCAATAATCACAGCCTTCCCAGTGTCTTTCGGGAGCTCTTGGATTTTCTCCACACTAGTTGGTTTAACAGTCCCGAGCTCAACATTCTTCGGTACCTTCTTCTACCACACCCTCTTCGTTTGAGAACCAGGAAGAAGTGCACAATCGTGTCCACAAACCCCCATAAGTTTCACAGACCGCTGGTAATTTACTATACTCCACCCTGATGAAGATAGGGTGTAAACCTAGTTTCTTTTGAGCCTTCACCTCCACACAAATTCACGCAGTCCCAAACCTCATACCCCGCCTTGTCGACTGATCCATACTCAGCGGCTTACCTAGGGTACTCGCAATTCCGCCTAACCCCTCTCTCGATGACAGTTCCGTAGGAAGAGCTGATAACTTAATCCACAGTGGAATTGCCGAATTGTCAATGTCTAGAGCCTGAATCCCAGGGACCTATCGGCTTAGACAAATAAGTTTCTCGCGGTAATGCCAAGGTCCTCCTTCAAACACCCATCTGCAGACGGACTCCTATGAAAATTGAAAAAGCACAAGACGATTTTTCAAGGGAAGAAAATCCAGTTTGCCAAAATCGAAGCGAAGATAGAGATGGCGGGGATCCAAGAAATTGACCGACGAGGCTGTGTTCCCAGCGCTTCACTCCTTCCTCGACAACCGACTTTGGAATCCGAAGAGAACCATCCACAATCTTCGGCTCATAATAATCCAATCGAAATCATCTGAAACGTGAAACAATGATGCCCAAGTCTGGCCACCACTAGCGGCACCAGGAGAGGCACCGTCAGTGACGGCGGCCATCAGATCGCAATTTGAAAAAATCAGAGAAAAGATAAGAGAGAGAAGGAAATGATTATGAGAGAACTTTGGCCTAACTATATATAGATTAATATGATGCTGCTAGCCCGTTGACTATCATGCACAACTGATCAGTTGTTTACATATATTATTTATAGATTATTATTGTACTGAAAGGAAATATTATTGTACACATTAGATGATTAATGGCATTAGCTTTACCGACAGAGCCTCCAGCGTAGGCATTAAACTAGTATCTCATTATGTGCTTACACGAGATTAATGGCTCGTTTGAAATGAATATTCTGATTTGGTATTTAGGCCTATTCCCACATAATATGAGATTTGAGCATAAATACATTGTTTGGCTGGAAAATAGGGATGTGTTATATTCTTCAAATATCACAAATGTGGTATTCTTAAAATACTAGCTAGGAAGAGGGATGTTGTGTTTCTCATCGTGTTCTTCCTATTTTCATATAAACCAAAAAACATCCTTGCTTTGTCATCCTCCCAATTTTAGTAAAACCTTTCTCGGATTATATCTTACCGAATTCATGTCCACCTTGTTCTTTTCGGTATTCTTTGCAGCCAGCTCTTTCATGATGAGTCTAACATGCTCTTCTTTTTACTCATTTCACAATTGTTAGTTGACGCCTCATGCATGTTAATAACAGTGGTCATCATTAATGTCTACAAGCCATTATTTGTCGTCCACATCACTTAAAAAGTCTTCTTTTTACTCATTTCACAATTGTTAATTGACACCTCAAACACGTTAATAACAGTGGTCATCATCAATATCTACAAGCCATTATTTGTCGTCTACATCACTTAAAAAGTCTCTGAAAGAAACGTTTAATCCCCGATCTATGTTTTCATAGGATTAGAAAAGAAGGTTGATTTTATTTATGGATTAGGAGAAGGGTCTAAATGAGTATTTAATCAATTTGAAGTGAAAATACCACAACCACAATACAAAACTTTCTAACCCTATCCTAACATCATATTTGATAAAATACTACATGCTATGGTAACGTTGTATTGGTTGAGCTCAACATCAAAAGCAACTCCAACTCATCATCTATACACTCTCCAAACCCGGAAAGTGCATTTACATAATTGGATAAACGCCACCACAAACTTCAAGAGCTCAACATCAAATTGCCATCAAATGGCCTTTCCATAACATACAAAAATCCGTACTCATCAGCATGTTACATGTTAAAATACACATTCGATGGTACAAACAAAGAATTCCAAGAAGAAGCTTAACTACGATCACTATCATCAGTCAGCATAACTAACATAGGCTTCTCCCTCGTGTTATGTCCCGATCTTCAAAGCCTTTCAGGTATGACCTGATTGAGAGATGCTCTGCCGCGTATGTCATGAACGAAGCCAAAATCATCCCTCCGGCAACAATCAACCCCAACCTATAAACGAATCAGGATTTCAGACAAACAAACAAATGCAGTTCAGGGAAAAACTTAATGCTTTGGGATATGTTGCAATAAGTAATCACCTTGCGAATAGTGCAGTAACGCCAAAAATATGGGGCAACGAAGGGACTCCAATGGCCAAAAAGGCCATCCCCGCCCAATAAAACCACACACCAAGATCATAAGAGGATGCTGACCGTTGATGACCTGTTCCAGAACACCAGAATGAAGTAAACCGAACTACTAAATTTTAAGAAGTAAACCATATCATAGAATGGACTATGTAACCGGTGCTAATAGACTTACCTTTTCCGGAGTCGTATGATGATTCAGAATCAGAGGAATGTGGTGCTGCTTGCATTGCTGCTGTCCTTCCCCACAGGTAGATCAAATGGAGAAACCCTCCGAATAGAACCAAGAAGAGAGTGAATGTCCACTCGTACATTAAGAGCAAACCAGTCCATGGCATTACTTGATGTGGCACAATTGCAACACTAATTCCAAGGGACATCAATGCAGCCATAAAACATGCACCGACAGAAAGTCCAACCAGATAAGCAGGCCACTTGCACTGTTGCACCAATACAGTTTAACAGCAGATATAGTAAGACATTTTACATGTAGTGAGAGAATCGAGAGTTATGTTGCACAGAACATTCGAAAAAGAATTTGGACCTGTTGTGTAAAATTGATGGGAGAGGACGAAGAAACACCATTATAGGCAAGTGCTCCATTGGATCTAATCCTGTAATACAGGTGTCTGATATGATCAAATACAGAACCCCTGCAAAGCATGCGAGCCTGCCAAAGTGATAAAAGATATAATGAATTTCAAACCACGATTTCAATATTTAGTAATAATTTCCAGGAAAAAAGTTCAGAAACAGACCTGGGAAAAAGATTGGTAGTAGCAGAGGGCTAGTGCAAACAGTGGCAAAACAAAAAGGAAATTAACTAGTAGTTGGTCGTGGGGATTCTTGCCACCCTTAGTACCAGGAAGGGTTTCCTCAAGTTTCACTCGGACATTCTGCATAATGAGCAAATGGGCTTTGTTTAGTCCCAACTTTGATGACATACCAATAAGTCAACTTGCAAACCACAAAAACAACAAGGAATCTGATTTGATGCACCAGTAATCATGCCACGGAACAAGGTACAGATGGAGCTGAAACTTTTTGAAATTGACAGCAGCAGCTGATGCAACATTGAGGATTGAAAGAAGAAATAACATATTTTGTTAGAAGTTGCTTCCACGGATAAGGAGAAAGTACCTGCCACACATCCACGGGTTTCAGCAGCCAAGAAGTCCACCAATCCCAGGGTTTAAGGGGACCAAGGGTATAGTGAATAACACGGAGTTCACTCTCATCAACCATCCACTGTTTGGTAAGGATAGATAACACATGAAATATAAGAAACAGAATTGAATAGTTAGTAACATGTAGGAAGGACAATTCTATCAAGGAAGACACTTGGCAGTTCAAGGAACACATATCAAAACTTTGATAACTAATGCTATGTCGTGAAATCGATATTGGTAACCTTGATGAGGTGGTTATGCTCCCTCAATCACTTTCTAAAAAAACAATATAAAACAGTTATTATCTGCAAAGAAATGTTGAGGCCAACTCCTAGACCTGGCACCAATAGCCAACAAACAGGAAAATACTTGCAAAAACTGGGAACCAGAAAATAACATATCAGCAGGAGTTGAATTATCTTAGCTATTATTCATCCACACCTTGTTAGCAAGCATGTAGAGACCAACATCTGCATTGTACAAGGTAGACAGTCTCTCCATATTAGGTGTAGGTCTAGAATCCAACTCTTCCTTGGATAAACCAGGCTGGAAAAGATGCGCATTTGGGAAGTCTGGGAAATATGAATTCAGGAACCCCTGGTCTCCTGTATGAGAAAATAAGTATAAAGTGATGCATTGACCATCATGAGCTACATTCAGATATGAAGGGAACAAACATTGGAGTTTAGAACAAAATTTTTACAAAAATGAAAAATGCATCACCTCCAGTGTAAGAATACATTGTGTTCACTTTGGTCATCATATCACTGAAAACCACTTCAGATGGCTCCACCACCATGACTCCAGAATTAAGCCTTTCAGAATGCTTCAAATTCGCACAGAACTTGCTACATTTGAAGAGATCCTCGATGTTTTTTACCACAATAGTGTCTGCATCAAGATATACCACTGCGCAAACAGTTTGAAAACGGTAAATATTTAGTGCTAAAATTGACAATGCATTAGATTGGATGAAACAGAGATCATGGTTCAAACTGGTTAGGGAGCTAAAAGGGCACCAAAATCAAATCATCAAATATTTTTCTTGGCAAAATAATGCTGTTCAAATCAAGAAAGACAAACCTTTACGGTAATTGGTCATGTTGAAGATTTTAAGCTTTGTGTATACACCCCAGAACCTCGTCGGTCGAACTTGATTAGGATTTGCTAATAAGCTTATTGTCTCCACCATCCACCCATCAGCCTGCTCAACAAAGACCAGAAGAAAGATGTAACACAAAAGACTTTTAGACTATGAAGAATAGAAAGAATCAAAGTAGTTTGCAGGAATCACACTTCAAATACATATATCATAATAATAGAGCTAGCAAAGCCAAAACCACATTGACACACAGCAAGTGGTGGCAATTACTGCATGTAGTGATAACATGATTAAAATTAGGCAAGCAGACATCTATTCCATACACCAAGCACAGAATCATACTAATCAATCATTGCTGAAATATATAAAAAAAATATTAACCTCACAACATAAATGTGAAACCGTCACACTTATTTCACAACCAGAAACGCAGAAACATCACAAGTCTATGGGTTTCTTTTCAAGCGTTCAAGCCGAACAACATACAGTGAAAAAGATACCCGTTCACAACGATCATGGTAAATCAATTTCTTTCTTTATTTGGGTCCATTTGTCTGTTGTCACAATTCTCATGAAGCATTCTAAAAATCAACCCAATTTAACCCAAACTGGTTCCTGTAAATTTCTTTTTTATAAAGGCAATTATCGGCCCCAAGGTTTGAACCTATGGTGTGGCTCCTTACAGTTTAACCTTTCTTACCAACAGAGGATAGTGATAGGACTAACTAAAATGAAAAAGTTACCTCAAGCAGCTTCTTGGCATAATCTGAGACCCCATCTGAAACCAAAGCCACCATATCCTTCCTCGATCCAGTGTCTCTAATCGACTTCCCTAAAACTCTAACTCCAAGCAGGAACTCATCTCCATACAACAGGGTCACATAAGCATCCTCTTTTTTCTTCAACGGGAGTCCAGCTGTGGAGTGACCCAATGCCAATGCAAGCACCACAAGCAGAAAACATACTGGCGACAGTTTCATAACGACCACCCTCTTTCAAATCCTCTCTTCAGTGACCGTTGCTACGCTGTTTCTCGGTGGACTTCCCCAGAAAATAAGGCGTCTCCAACTGACAAAACATAGACGACTCCAACTGAAAACACAGACGAATTCAAATCTAGAAAAAGCAACCTACTTTCGCAATGAGAAAATACTTAATACATCAAAGATCAAGTAACCCAATTTCCTAATCGTGGTCAGAAACCTAAATCAAACAATAAGAAACCCATAAACTAGGAAGAACATAATAAGAAGAAGAAAGATGGGTTACCGTTCTAAGCTCCCCTGATCGCTGCTGAGTTTCGCGGGGAAAGTACGGGAAAGAAAGAGTGAGTTGCCGGCGACGGACGGCGGGCGGTGGTCGGACAAGAGGCGTAGCCTGGTGGGAGGGAGGAATTTCAGCTGGCGGCAAGGCAAGAGAGGAATCGCTTGCCGTGGCAAATAGATCGAAGTTGAACTGAAGGAGAATTCAGAATTCAGATTCGTTTTGATAAGTCAGTGAGTCATATTTGCTGGCGGGCGGCAATTCTGATCTCACACAGCAAAGGCCGAGTAGTAATCGAGTAAGGTCCATATAGTTGTACCTAATAATCTTGGCCATTCACGTGGCATATCATTAACGATCACCGTTACATCTTCTGATTTTTTATTTTTTTAATAATCTCCTTGTTTGTCTCATTAAAATGATAAAATGGCTTAAGGGCGCAAAGCCTCCTAACAAATCAGGTCCAAGACGGAAACAAATGGCCTCAAATCACATAATAGTAGAAGAGGGTCTGATTCCTATTCGGCATTCGCTCATGATTGGGCCAACAGATGAGCTATGGGATAGGTTCAGGTCTTTCAGCCTCAAAACTTAAGAAGTTTCTTAAGTAAATGCTGGCCATTAGATTAATCTATGGTGGGTTTTTTTTATTAAATATGGTGGTTAAAAGATAGTTTTTTTTAAGAAGAGGAGGCAATAGCCAAGGTGACAGACACAGGCAGTGCTGGTGGCTTACACCACTGCGCAAGAGCAGCGGGCCAACAGCAACAGAGAACTCAGACCAAAATTCAAAAGCCAAAGCCAAAACAAGTGGCAAGCAAGAACACCAAACAACCAACCTAGTCGCTGCTCAGCAGAACTCTCCGCGGGAAACTAACCCCCCCCCCCCCCCAATGTCATCAAGCAAAATTTTATCAAGCTCTCTAGGTGGACTTGCTAATTCATTCGTACCGAAGGGATAGACGAGACTGTGCTTCGAGAGCCATCTTTGTACGTGTGAACCAGCCTGACCACCCAGTTTTGAGACATCATACGTCGAATAGCAGCCAACATCGTGGAATGAGGGTGAATAGGGTCTTCCCGCGCTTTGATAAGGTCAATAGCGAGCTGCGAGTCCGTTTCTAAGATAAGAAACTGCATACCGTGGTTCCGGGCCATGAGGATCCTCTGATGAATGCCCCACAACTCAAGAATAGCTGAGCCAGTTCCAATCTTGCAACAGAAGCCACAAACCCAATCTCCATTACTATCCCGAAGCACCCCACCTGTCGTCGCTAACCCTTGATTGCCTTGAGTTGCACCATCAGTGTTCATTTTCCTCCATCCACCCGGCGGCGCCTTCCAACCAATCAGCTGGTCCGACCTCAAAGGTTTCTCTACCGCACTTAAACTTGAGGAGGCATTATCCCACGTCTTCAACATAATTGACTATGGAAGATTCGGCCATCTTTTTCCCCTGAAAAATAAATTCATTTCTATACTTCCAAACATACCAACAAATTAAGGCAAAGAGGCTCGGACAGTCCTCCTGGATATCCACCCTCAGTTTCTTCTCCAGGTTCATTTCAAACCAATTATCCGAATCTGCAGCGAAGAAGCCCTATTGAGCCTGGACAGGAAGCGACTTCTCCCAAATCTTCCGCGTGGCTGTGCAGTCTCTCAGGCAGTGCATATTTGTCTCCACTGCTTCTTTGCAAAGCTGGCAAGTGTCATCAGTAGTGAGGTGATGAAACTTACGAACACTGTTAGTAGACAATTTCCCTTTAGCAGCGAGCCAGATAAAGAAACGGACTCTTTCTTGGCAGTGGAGTCTCCAAATCTTCCTCCAGTTGATGCGCTCCTGGCTTGCTTGATCCGGCGTCATGGCCTGGTAAGCCGAGCTAACACTGAACCTGCCATTGGGAGTAATTCTCCAAAAAGAGTATCACCATCACTGGTCAGAGGATCCATCCAAACAACCCGCATTTTATCAATGATTTCGGGCGGGAGGTATGGCTGAATATCCTGAAAATTCCATCCTGTATTTGCGTCCCAGTAGTCAACAACCATTTTGTCTCTGTACTCCAAAGGGACCTCAGTCATCGCCAGCTCCACCAGAGGTTCCTGCATAATCCACACATCATACCAGAACTTAGTGTCATGCCCATTTTTAACATTGTAAGCAATCCCTTTTTCAAAAGGTTCGCATTTAGGGAGAAACTGTTCCAGGCAAAGGAACTTCCCTTTATTTTACTGAGCATGTGAATCCCCTTCCTATCCCTCCCATACATGCTCCTCATAGCTCTAGCCCAGAGTTTTTGATCATCCGTCACCAGGCTCCAGGCCCCTTTGGCCATCATAGCTTGATTAGTAAGTCTTATTGGCCTAATCCCCACACCCCCTCGTTGTCTTGGCAAGGTCATCTGTTCCCAAGCAATCGGGTGGAACTTCGTCTTGCCATCCTCCTCTCCCCACAAGAATTGCCGATTGATCCTGTCAAAAGATTTACAAATAGAAGCAGGTAATCGTTCGGTAAACATGGGATAAATTGCCATGGAAGAGGCTATGGATTTCACCCGGGTAATCCGTCCATCAAATGAAAGATGATTAGCTTTCCATGAAGCCAATTTCTGTTGAATTTTCAGAACCAATTCTTGGTATATAGCTTGAGTGATCTTGCCATTAATAGCTTTTAGACCCAGATATCTGCCTAGATCACTGGTAAGAGTAATCCCAGCTTTTGCACAGAGTCTCTGCGCTCTGTCTCTCTGGATATTAGGGGACACAAACATAGTTGACTTGTGCAGGTTCACTCTCTGTCCCGAACTCGAGTAGAAGTCCTCCAAGCATGATCGAATCACATCAATCTGTCCACCTTCAGCTTCAGAAAATAAAATCATATCGTCAGCAAAGAAAAGATGAGACAACTTTGGACCATCCTTGGTGAGAGAGAGTGGTTTCAAAGTTTCTCCTCTATAGCTTGCTCAATACGATGGGCTAATCGTTCCATACATAAAACAAAGAGAAAATGGGATAAGGGATCTCCCTGTCTGACGCCTCTAGTAGGATTGATCACCGAGGTCATCTCGCCATTCCAGTTGATCCGCATTTGATTCCTCTCCACACACGTCATAATCCTGCTAATCCAGGAACTAGGGAGGCCTATCTTCCCTAGAGTGTCCCGAAGAAATCCCCAATGAAGGCGATCATAAGCCTTCTCGAGATCAATCTTAATAACCAAACCTCCCTTAGTCCCTTTCCTTTTCCTCAGAGAATGAAGGATCTCCTGAAGCAATAAGATGTTGTCATTCGTTTTCCTTCCCTTGATAAAACCACTCTGGGTCGGAGCTACTAGCCTTGGCATTAGAGGCTTGAGTCTGTTGGCTATGGATTTGGTTATGGCTTTCAAAGCCACATTATTTAGACTGATGGGTCTGAACTGAGATGGAGTTTCAGGATGATCAACCTTCGGGATAAGAACCATCGTGGATTCAAAAACCTCATCCGGGAGATTTCCTGTTTCAAAAAAATGAGTAGCCATCTCAGTCAGATTCTTTCCCACAAGAGACCAGAATTTCTGGTAGAAAACAGCCTGATACCCATCAGGCCCAGGAGCCGACATCGGCTTCATCCCAAAGATGGCTCTATGATAGTCTGAGATATGAAAAGGATGAAGCAACCCCAGGAGATCAGCTTGCTGTAGACGCGGAAACCTGCCTCTAGGCATCAGATCCTCATAGACTCTGTCCTCCTGGGTGTACAAGCTTTCATAGAAGTGCATCACTAAGGCCTTGAGGTCTTCCTGATTATCAATCCAATTCCCATTAGAGTCCCTCAGAGCCAGGATTTTGTTTCTTCTACGCCTTCTGGTAGCTTGCTGATGGAAATAGGAGGTGTTCTATTCTCCCAACTTGACCCATTTTTCGCTTGCCCTCTGGAACCAAAGAACTTCCTCCTGAACAATGATTAGATCCAACTCTTTCTCAAGTTTAAGCTATAGCTTCAGGAGGCTCGGACTAAAAGAATCTGCCAGTCTAGTAGTCACTCCTTGAAGCCTCGCAAGCAATCTTCTTTTTTGACGAATAGTGGAGCCAAACACGTCCCTGTGCCAATCCCTTAGCTTCCCCGTCATCTCGTTCAAGGAATTGCAGAGCTCCGAATCCTTGTGCCAACTATCTTCCATGAATTTGTTGAATTGAAGATGCAGGAGCCACGCCGCCTCAAACCGGAACGGTTTTGAATCCCCGTTAGTCAACTGTTGAAGGGAGTAAGTCGCGAGAATCGACAGGTGGTCTGAATGGAATTTTGGGAGGTGCTGAATCACAGTGTTGGGGAATACGGCATTCCACGAGTCATTGCACAAGGCTCGGTCTAAGCGGCTAGCTCTATGAGTTGAGCTAGTATCTCCCCTGAACCACGTATAACGCGGACCCGAAAACCCCAAGTCCGTCAAGAAAGCCTCATTCATCCAACCTAGGAACTTCTTACAACGTCTGAAATCCCTCGCTGAGCAAACGCCAAATTTCTCCGTTGGGGAGGAGATTGCGTTGAAGTCCCCTGTGATAAACCACGGGAGATTCCAAACCTTACTGTAGCTGATGAGTTGCTCCCAAAGAAGGGTATGATACTTGTAATTGGTGCTGCCGTAGATGCTGGACAGAATCCAGCCTTCATGACCATCTTTCTCCACTTTGACAGTAATATGCTGTTTGCTGGCATTTAGAGGAGTCACCCTAAAATCAGCAGATTTCCAAACTAACCAGATACCACCCAATCTTCCATCCGCATCAACTCGGATGATTTCATCATACCCCAACTTGCTACAAACTGTATTAGCCTTATCTCCACTGATCTGAGGCTCCAAGATAATCAGGAAATCAGGTTTATGAGTATCCCTTATTAGGCGAATGGCTCTTCTGAATTTCCTACTACCTGCACCACACACATTTCAGGATAAAACTTTAAAACTAGTTTGATAAGATAGTTAGTGGTTATTAAGTAGTTAATAGTTATGAAGGGTAATTAGAATATTTTAATCATTTGTTATTTAATTCTTTTCATATTTTTCATTTCCACCCAGTGGTTTTAATTGATCCATTGGGTTAGGGATTTTTTAGTTTAAAGATTATTGGCTGAGTTTTTTCTCCTCGTCACCACGAGCATCATCACCAGCCGTAGCCGAGTCTTCCCTTCCAGCACTGCAACCGGTCATAGGTGGATGGATCTTGGACCAACCCAAGGATACACGATATCACCACAAAGGGGTTAAAGCTTTGCAGGGGTTTGACCATCGG